ATCCTGCATTCTTGTCACAAGGTTCCCTATAAAAAAAATCATTAGTATCTAGAAGCTGTACCTTTGCTGACAAGTACCTGGACCTGAGAGTGTCACTAACCTTCAGAACTTCTGTGAGGCTACAAGCTTGACATGGGGCAAAAGCTATGCAACAGTCATTGCACATTGTGCTCCAGTCACAAAACACAGAGCAGGATGCCTATCGAGTTTATTTCCCCAGGAGTCAGTAACAGCGTTATTGCACGAAAAATAACAATTGGCCACCAGTGAAAGCCCACAGCTCAAGACTAGTGATTCTGAAATGATTGGCATTTGAAAACAGGCCTGAAACCTTGAGAGACAAAAATGTGAAAAGGAAATTGCAAAGCAGAATCCCTCCATCGTGCAGAGGACTGAAGCTTGTGATCTCAAACAGATTTTAGAGGTTCTTATTCCGGAATCTCATTAACACCAGAAGTCAGGTGTGCAAAACTACAGCAGTGTATAAAGCATTGTCCTTCAAACCAGAAAGGAACAGAACTCTCTTAAGAGACGCTGAGAAGTTAAATGGAATAGGAGGGTTTGGGGGTGAGAGTTATACCATTGTCACTCAATGACTAAGAAGCACATGGCAACAGACTAAGCTGAAAGGAACAAGGTCTGAAAAAATGAGTGACCTTCTCCTTACACCTTTTTCAAGCCGCAGAGAGCTATGACAAGCAGATGGAAAGACGATAATCATGGAAGAAAAATCTGGGAGAAAATTCACTCTAAATCAAGACAATTTCTTACAGACAAATGCCCAATGAATACAAGCTCGACACCAACACGTTTTGTATAGGTGATGTGAAACCATATACCCAACTATCAGCAGTAGTGTCTAATGTCTGTGTCACATAATCTCTCTCTCTCAATTATCTTTTTGATTCATTTGACTAATCATGAAAGTTGAACTTTAAATAACAATCTAAATGAGGAAGCTTATACAATCTGCTGTTGTCATGGGTGCCCTCCACTATGCTTTTACAGCAGAGGATTCTGAAAAAAGATGAAAAAAATGTAAAAGGGAGAAGGAAGGGGAAGAAAGGGAAGGAGAAAAGGAATTGGGAACCCAGGATGATGTCAGCTAGCAAAGCCAGAGGAAAGGAGTCATCTGTAGCGCATCTCTAAAAATCATCCAAGAAGTAAGGGGTTACACATATAATCAGTTTATTCAGCCACTGTTGCCAGCAGTAACTACTTCAAATGAGTCACTGCTGGAGCTGATAATTTAATTGATGTAGGCTTTCATGAATAAGTAAAAAAAAGTCTTCCCCGGCACTGTTACCTGCACTTCCATGAAGACCTGTTGCAGATTCAGGTAGATAAATTGACCAAAAAAATAGGTAGCTAAAATGTCCTCATCAGAGATGATGAAGTTTACGAGAAGGCAACACACATCTGAAATCAACCTCCTGCTTATATGTCATCATCAGAGGATGAGGTTGAAAATAAACTCCCCAGCAGGGGGGGAAAAAGAAAGATCGGGACTTTATAGCTGCGTGAATCTGAATGATACTTTATTTAACTTCCTTCTGAGAATGTACCTCACCATCCCATTTTGTGAAAGGTGATGTTAACTTGGGGGAGGGAAATTAAATGTGTTCTGAAGTGACAGCCCAAATATGAGTAGAGAAAATGGTTTCTTTGTATTTATTTCCTGCTTGACAATTACCTTTTCTTTCTCATGTAAGTTGTGTTTGGAGAGTGTTTTATTGACCAACAAAACAACAAACCCCAGAGCCTACTCACAGAACAAGTTCTTTCTCCTCTTGTAAATACTGCAGTCTGTTTAAAAATGGAGGGCAAGTGCATAAGATCCAATACCATAATGCAATTTTGGTTTGTTTTCTAGTGTTTAGTAGAGCATAAGAGCAAACACTATCAGCTAGCCAGCGTCTGGTTCTTGATTCAGCCGCTTCTATGTTAGAAGAAAGTATTTATTAGGGAATTGTTGATAGGTTTATGAAATGTTGCTGGTACTTGGGTAAGCTGAGCTGGAGATAACTAAACCAGGACGATAAAATAGCTGTTTCATTGAAGCTGGCATACCATGCAGTTTCAGTCATGCACTTAGCTTAACTACTGGAATTATAAAAGTGCAGAGCTACTAATGAAAGGCAGTTTTTGCATCCTGACTGTGCGCAGCCTAGATAAGGTGTTCTTTCAGCTTAAATAATATACTTGATCATGACAAGCTTAGCTACTTGGTGTGACTTTTAAGCACACCCAAGGTAAGAGAACATCAGATTTCTAAATCAAAACAAACCATTCCTACTCCAGACAGAGTGAAGGTAATAGACTTGTTTAACCCCCGTAGAAGTCAGCGACAGTTTTGCTATTAATGTTAGAAAGAGCAAGATGATATGTAGTAACTTCAAATTGAGCAGAAGTACTGACTGCTCCATGTAAAGCAGAAGAATCTCCTGCACTCCAGAACAGGCCATTACATCAGGAAACCCACATTTTCATTGCTGTGTTCATTTATTGCTATGCAGTGATATATTAGCTAAGCAAACCCTACGATCCTAATAGCATGAGTAGCTTGCAAACATTATCATGCTTTGGGAGAAGTACAGGGCACAAACAGCTCTTGGCTTTTTTTACTGACATAAGGAAACTTTCATTTGATTGGATTATCATTCCTTACACTGTTCAGCTTGCAAATATAAATTCAATAGAAGAGAGTTAGCTCATTGCTTACTGAGCTTTCTCATCAAAACTTGGAGCTTTACGTTTTGTTTAGCTAAGGTCGGTGGTCTGCAATTAACCCTTCTCAGTTACTTCAGATGGAGCCTGCTGAAATGCAAACAACTTGTATTATATCAGAAGTAAAACAAAACATCAATTTAATTTGGCCTTGCTATACAGTGCAGCTGTTAAACACAAGCCCTGCAAAGGCCACGCTTCACTAGATGTGAATCTTTCAGCCTTTGACTGCTAGAAATGCTTGTCTGGTTAGAAGAGAGGAATCCTTAATCCTTGTCTTAGTTTGTCTTTCCAATTTTTAGCCTGCAAGAATTCTTCTAAGCCACAATGATTCCTTCTTATCAGTAGCCTTGAATTCTGAACACAACATCACTCATTTTGGAAAGAATAAGACAAGTCTTAAGTTTGAATGGGATGATCCAAAGACTCATCGAGTATGAAATAAACAGTACAGGAAAGTCAGGCAGAATGTTTTTATGGAGCTCCAAGACAGCATCAAGTAGTTGCATGAGATAGATACTGTGTTAGTGCCAGTTTACATTTTTACAACTGCAAACACTGTTAAAGATGTTTCAGGAGGCTGCATTGTTTCTGGAGAAATGATCTTTGCCAGTATGGAGCTGTATTATTAAACTTCCACTTAAAAAGAATGTTAAAGCAGAGAATAAGCTCTCAAGAGAGAGAAATCCCAGAATTCCACCTAGAGATTTAAAATTCTTCTAGCACTTCTAGAACAGCAGAAGTAAAACAGTCTGATCCAAAGTTCTTACCAGACACAAAGAAAATTGTATTTCATTACTGATCTACAGGTGTTTAATTTATTGCATTTGATACAGTTGTCTTTAAGTATTTTTTTTTTTGTTTCAATATATTAATATACAATATTAGCATACCAGAGTCCTT